ATTTCCATAATAGGAGCACAAATCGCAAAGCTTCTGGTAGCTTTCTAGAAATTTGATGGGAAAATTATATAGCATGGAACTTAATCCGTATTGACAATGATATTATCAGACATCGATTTCTAAATACTTCGTCATAAATCGATATTAGTTATAAAATGGTTCTTAGTTCTTCCATTTGAATAAATAGTTGACTACAATTCAGTAACAATTCAATACTAATAGTAATAAAAAATCCTATCATTATTTTAAAAACAAATCACTCTTTTCCAACTATTAGTTTCACAATAATATTAGGAGTATTTTATTAGCTTTTTAGTAAAATTTAAATACTTTTTATACAAAACCTTACGTTTTTATACAAAAAAATGGCTATGCACATACTAAAAGTTGTAGGGTTATAGGTTAGTATAGGGCGGTTCTCAAATGTCTAATTTGACTGTTAGCAATTATATTGTGCAAACCAAACGAATTATATCTCAACAAAAACACATGTCAAACAAACAACTATCTGACTATGTTCAGTAAAAGTAGCTAATTCGTCATTGAAGAAATGTGTTTTACTTGCTGTTTTTTTTTAAATTTGTCACCTGTTTTTTACCCCATGTGCGGGGTAAATTGTGACGGCCAGGGGGGCAAACAGTTTCAATATTTTATTTTAATTTTAAAACGGATTTTACGAAGGAATTGTTCCCTTATTCAACCAATGCAAAATATAAATGTTATAGGTACGTTTTTTACAGAGATAACACTGCATATAACCTTGATCTGGTATTTTGTCAGAAATATTTATCGGCAGAGTTGGAATAACTATTTATTTAATTAATCTCTTGTAAAATTGCTCTCTTTAACTTGATTTATTTACTATTATTTATTGCTTTTACTTTTGCCAAGGTCAAAATTCAGTTGGTTCAAATTCTTTTTACACCACCCACGTGAAAGCTTTTATAGAGGTTACATAAAAAAGATTTTCTTTTATTTCATTTATTCTGTTCATCTTCTTTAATGGCAATCATATTTATTTAAATTATATTGATAGCTAAAACAGCATTAACGCAATTGTTTTAATATAATAGAAATTAATTAAATTAATATTTCTCAGAATAGTCATGCATTCTAGAGATGAAGGTTTTAAAATGTGTTAATTGAATATGAAATAAGTATACCAAATGTAGCATTGAAAATCGATGCATTATAAATAATATTACAATATTAGCTAATTTTTAAAAATACACTTCATAATTATATGCAACTATTAATTTTTATTTGTTTTATGATATGATGTATAGTTTTCATTAAACAAGTAATGTTTAAAGAAAACTTTAAGTTCTTTGACCAGTTTTCCAATCCTGATCGCTGTGTACCGAGCACATTTGATTGCATATTAATATAATTATTGTAAATAATGGCATATTAATGTTTCTTGCATGTTTAAAGTTAACTAAAACCTGTTGCTTGCATCTAATGCATTAATAGTTCGATGGTCGAAGCGATCTTCAACTAACTATCCGCAGATACAACATGCCGATGCTCGGCTCATCTTGACAAGTCTTATCTTTCTGATTGCAAATGATAGAAATATAAATTGACATGTGATATAGGAATATCGATATCATTGTTGCATGATTGCAATATCTTTGAAACGAGTTTAAACATATTGATTTTATCATCAAAAGCTGTTTTATTAACATAAATCTCGCTTTCTGAAGCGGCGGCGCCAGCTTCCAGTCGCGCTCGTTTATATTATTTTGATTTATAGGGTGTCAAAAAGGAATTATAATTTACTTTAATGTCGTAACATTACTACACAACAGGGTGTAATGTAATCCTCATATATAATAGACTACAATATAATAACTGATTCCATAACACTCTCATTTCATATCCATTCTCAATATGTGAAATAATATAATTAAATTATTTATTTTGAAATTTAGTATGCCCCAAAAGATATAAACCTCTATTTATATTATTATATTATTTCATAATCAAAAAAGCTTGATTTGTACCAAAAGAACTTATAAAACAACATGTGAAACTTCTAAAATTACTTTTTCCCATATTTTTTCTTGAAATTTGATCGAGGGTGTGGCTGGTGCCTGAAAAGTTTTTGTGATCAAGTGCCCTTTTGCATTTTTCTACGGAAATTAACAAAATTCCAAGAGTCGCTCAGTTGTTGTCTCTGTAACAGTGTCGAACTTTTTTTCTCTTATTTTATTTATAATCATTTTCAAATAATATGAGAGCAATATTTATATGATTTTTTTGGATTTACTGTTATAAATTGCTACATTTTTTTATTAAATTTCTATTAAACAATCAGAATAATGTAAGTATTCTATGAGCTACAGATAAACTAAATAAATAAATAAAGAAAAAACTAAATAATAATAATAATAGTAATAATAACAAATAAATAGAAATAATAATAATAATATAAATAATAATCATAAAAAACAATAGTCACATAAAAAATAATAATAAATATAATAATAGACTAGAAAAGTGTTCCATTGACCAGTTAACTAATTAGTTAGTTATATAAATTAACATAAATCATATGGAAATTTTTTCTTCAGACTTCTCATATTAGGGATATCGAGTAGTGCTGAAACTATGTGGTTTAGGTGTGTTTCTAGTTCTAAATGATGGTGAAGGCTATTGCTACTAATTGCTAGATTTAATTTAACTTTATTGACTTTATTTTACAAGGTGTTTATTCAGTATTTGTTTTGAACTTCTATATACGTATGAAATAAGTTATTCAAAATCTTGCATACAAGTGGAAGCGTGAGCTTGACATGTGACATATCTTTTTACTTTTGGATATCACATTTCGTTCACTGGTTGCATTTGATTTATATTTAGAATGTCATTACTCTGCAGCTTCACATGTTTGCACAAAAAGTTGAAAATAAATCTAAAGCATCTACGTAGAACGTAGTAAATGAAAGTAATATTATGACCTTATAAAAATATGATATGACTAAATGAGATGATATCTTACATGATTAATGATATTTTGCATAAAGGAGGGGATATTGGGTACGGTTGTGGCAGGGTACGGTAGTGACAATCATCATAAGAGTTATTTTTATTTATATATTTATTTATTCATAAGCAAGCCGTAATCAATAATAATAGATATTATTTCAGGCTCTTGTCAAACTTATTCATAGTTAATATTAAAAGGATAGTAATTTTATAATAATCATAGTAGCTGCACGAATTTCGCTTCTGAAAAAAAAGAGCTGAAAAAAAGCATTCGAACATTAAATACAATGTTCATCATCAAGTTCATCCATATTAAAGTCTATTTGACCACCAGTCAAGCTCAAAATTCTTGCACAAGGTTGAAAGTTATACTCATTTAAAACCGTAAAAAATTTAAATTAATAAAATAGCAATAAAAAAAATGAAAAAAAATAATGGTTGTACAGGCGATCAAATGGTCAGACTACATAGATACAGGATAAGGATTATGCAAGAAAATAGTTATTGAATTCAAATTGAGAAAATTCAGTAATGTCATAAAAAGCTATGTCTTTAAAAAGTTTAACTAGGGAAGCATGAAATTTTTTGCTGTCTAAGTTTCGGATATTGAGTGGAAGTTTATTCATGAAGTTTATGCTGAATACCTAGACCGTCGATCGTATTGAAAGAGCTGGCTAATTTATATGTACGCGCCTTAATAGGTTTGTGTCTAGTGTTGTAATTTGAGGACGAAGCCATATCAAAAAGTTTCGAATTGTTTTTGATGAAAGTTAATGTTACCAGCAGAAAAATGCATGGGATGGGACAGTTAGAATATTGTATTTTTTAAATATGGGTCTAAAAAATTATTCGAATAGTTTTTTTCTGAAGCTTAAATATTTTAATTAGTTCGGATGAAAAACCCCAGAATTGAATGCCGTATGAAACGTGAGAATAAAAGTTGCTATAATAAACTGAAAGTAAGCAATTTAAACCAAGCTTGGGTTTTAGGGTGCGCAACATGAAACATGTTCTAGATAAAGTTGGTGATAGAGAGATAGAGATATGATCAGAACACTTTAAATTATTATTAATATGGATACCAAGAAACTTTTATACTTGCGAAAAATTATGTGTTGAATTATTGATGGTTAAAGAAGTAATATTATTGGATAAACGATTTTTTGTACAAAAAGATATGATTTGGGTCTTATCATTATTGAGAACTAGATTATTTTCACAAAACCATTTCGTTATTTCTGACATAACCACGCTTAATTTATGTTGTAATTCATTAAGAGATTTGGCCTTGATGATAACGCTGGTATCATCCGCAAAAAGAATAAAATCACAAAGATTTGTACAATGAGGTAAATCATTAATATATATGAGAAATAAGAGAGGCCCTAAAATTGATCCTTGGGTCAACTATTGATGGGTTCGAATGTGAGTCCAGTTTGCGTTTGTATTTTTCCTTGAATTCTTTGAACGTTAATTGCACCGTTTTCATGTTGAGGTCGCTGTAAATGATTTCATTTGTTACGTACCACGAAGAATTGTACGAAATTTTTTTGACTGAGTTCTCTGCATTATAGCTATATTTGATTTGTAAGCACATCCCCAGAGCTCAATTTCGTAGGTCCAGATTGGTTTATTGATTGATTTCTATAGCAGCAACTTATTTTCAACAGAGAGCTTAGACTTTTTATGCAGTAGCCAATCAAATTCTTTCATTTTGATCATTATTTGCTGCTTTTTTATTTTTATGTGCCTTTTTATTATATGATTTGGTTTTATGACTAATCCATCGTATTTAAAATCAGTATTATGTGTCCATGTAGAAAAATTTCAAATTACTATTTAATTTACTTTTCTCCTAGCTAACTGGTAAATTTACAAAAGTGACACGGACGTACCCAGTCTCCCCTGCATAATATTATATTTAATGTTTATTAATTTATTTTAAAATTTATATAAAAGAGCTTTCAATTCATTAATATTATATTAATATATCTTAATTTTCTTTTCAGAGCTATGTCCTCAAAGCGCAAATCACCGCCGACGAAACTCGAAGGCGGCGGAGTCGCTTGCGAACAACAGCAAACAAATCATCACCAAAACCACAACCATAGCCAGCATCAAACATTGCAGCTGCAGCACCAGCATCAACAGGATCAGCAACATCACCAACACCAGCACCAACAGCATCAGCATCATTCAGTAAACTGTGAATCGAGTGCGTCCGGGAACGGTCCGTCGTCCGGCAACGGCCCGGTGTCCGACGGCGACCCGGGTAGCGACCGGGATGCGGGTGAACGCAGTCCTACGCCGCCGCGACTGAGCGGCCCGACAGCCCCTGATAGCTGCCCTAGCACGCCCAGCGAGGGCACGACGCCAACACCTGCCACGACACCAAACACGACGCCGACGCCGATCGCCAACAACGTCGATTCCGATTCAGAGGGACCGTGCAAAAAGCAGCGGCTCGAGGACACGCTCGCGCGACAGAGCGCCCTCTTGGGCTTGCACGTGAGTTACATTTTTACATTATTGATAATACAGGTCCATGAAATAAAAAAAAGTTGTCTGTATTGAACGGGTGACATAGGTTTTCCAATGTATTTTTTAGCGCTGGATATGGACCTAATGTCAAAACTAGTGGGGCGCATGGCATCGTGCCTTAAGGCAAATTGCTGGAACTTTCCGTACCAAAATTATTATTATTTTAAAAAGATTAAAATTTTTGAAAAAAATTTCTTAGAAAAAATTAGATTTTTGAGAAACTATAAATTTGACAAAAAATTACTTTTTTTAGGTGGTATGCCAAAATATTCAGAAACCTCTGAAACGTAAAGATATATAAAAAATTTCATTTTCGATTTTTTGCGATTACTATAACTTGCCCTACGTAAACTGCTAACTGCACACACCTGATACAGATAACTTTTTTTCATTTTATTGATCTGCGTTACTAATAGATTCGAAATCAAAATTGTTGAACTTGGTTCGAACTTGGACCTACAGATATCTAAGCTATCAAAGATCTTTTTGCTATTTACTAAAAAAGAAGCACGTTGTACAACGGTGTAGCGTAGAAGGTAAACATTTTGCCAGATGATGATCATATCAATCCCGGATGTCATTTTTAATATAACTCTATTCAGATAATTTAATCTTTAGGATCGATCAAAATAACATAGGGCGGGACACTAAGGTCCAATTGGACTTTCAGTGATTATACTGTCTAAACTAAGTTAACTACTTGACAGCAGATAACATGTATCAAACAAACATCTAACTATATAAAGTAAAATTCACAATTAACTTCTAATTATAGAAATATTCGTTTTACTATTTTTCTATAATTTGTCATCTGTTTCTTTTTGCTGCTTGAACGGGGTAAGAGGAGACAGTCAGGGGAAAACAGATCCAACGTCTTTTTTTTAATTTGAAAGGATTTCACGAAAGATTAGATACTTAATTTAACAATGTGAAATTCAAGTTTTATGGTAATCTTAAAGATTTCATTGTATACATAAATCTTGTATTAATTTAATTTATCTCTTGTGAAATTGTAATTTTTAACTTAATTTAATTTTTAACTTCCCGTAGGGTAAGTTATAGTAATCGCAAAAAAATCGAAAATGAAAATTTTTATATATCTTTACGTTTCAGAGGTTTCTGAACATTTTGGCATACCTTAGAAAAAATGGATGTATGTGTGTGTGTGTGTGTGTATGTGTGTGTGTGTGTGTGTGTATGTATGTATGTGTGTGTATGTATGTGCGGATACAAATTTTCGTCGACGATTTCGGGAACACGGATCAACCGATTTGAATAATTCAAAAAATATTCGATCCGTATTGATAAGGAGACGTGCTGATTAGTTTTTGGTAAAGGCAGGTCAAGCCGTTCCGAAGATACGGGGCAAAAAGTTCCGAAAACGGTAACTCAGTTTTTAAGAGAACGGAGCGTCCGATTTGCATATTTCAAAAAACATTTTATTTGTATTGACAAGATGAAGAATCGATACAACTTTCATGAAGGTAGGTCCAGCGGTTTCGGAGATATAGAGAAAAAAGTAAAAAAATGAGCCATTTGGCGGTCAAAAATGATCATTAGACATATGCACATCAAATTATCAGATATTTTATAGAGATTTTAACAATAAGTATACATTTTGTTAACATTCCTATGGGTTCCGTACCAATGCTTATGCGTTAGACAGCGACGCGGCGCTTACGCGCTTTATATTTTGTCCCTATGTAGTTAAAGCAGTGCGATTGCTTTGAAAAAAAAGTTCAGATCTTCCACAATATGTCAAAATAAAGAAAAAAATTTTTTTTTTCAAAGAAAAAATTTTTTTAAAAAAAAAAATTTTTTTTTAAAAATTTTTTTTTTCAAAAAAAAACTAATTTTTTGTCCAATTTATAGTTTCTCAAAAATCTGATTTTTTCAAAGTAATTTTTTTTCAAAAATGTTAATCGTTTAAAAAAAAAATAATAATTTTTGGTACGGGAAGTTCCAGCAATTTGCCTTAAGGCACGATGCCCTAATTGCCTCAAGACAGAATTCCACTTACAGCTAGTTTATTTACTATTTCTTATTGTTTACAGCTTGTACGCCAATGTAAAAGTTGATCTTTTTTGCCCGACCTTCATGTGAGCCTTTATAGAGATTATATAAAAAGCTGTTGAAAATAACCATGCGCTTAATTAAATAAAATATACAGAAAAATTATATTCAGATATCATAAAATAAATACAAGAGCTTAAAACCACAAAAACTACCAACGAAATAAAATACTTTTGTTATGAATATTGATACATTTCTTATTATCTCTTGATAGCGACGTCTTAAGATTTAAAGTGATGGCTGTTTACTCATTTTTTGCCTTGTACTTTAAAATAGTATATCATTAGAAAATGTTATACTTATAGTATCACTTGTAGTAAAAGTGTTATACCTTGCTTGTTTGTGAGATAATGATTGTGGTCTTTTTTACCCCCGGACCTTTAATACCTGCTCTTTTCTATTTTTTGTAAAATACTAACAACCTTTTAGCAGTCTGGCTTTTTCCTATGTGACACTTACGCTGATTGCATACCTCACTCTCTATTACTTTTATATAAAATGCTGCAAGAAATGTTAACCCGTAAAATAAATTAAAATTTCCATTTAAATTCTTAGCATTTTAAAATAATTGAAATTATTGATACATCCTTTTAACCAGATCTGCTATATCTATGCCACACATAAATTTTATTGCTACTTAATTTTCTTCTTTACTTGTTTTACGATCTTGCGGATTAAGAGTATCTTAATCAGTACAACTTAGATGGAAATTTTTCTTTAGAATAATTGAATTAATTATCAAGCAATGCCATTTATTAACGGAGTTTTCTTACAGCAGCAGATTCCTTCATGTACGTAATGTAAAAATTTTTTAGCGTTAATGGAATAAGACATAAAATATTATCTGGCGGCATACAATACTATACAAAATGACTTTAAGGAACATACTTGTAAAGTTGTTTTGGTTCGGAAACTTTACTGAACGAGTTTGTATTGTAATCAATTCTTTTGCATCAGGATTCTATCAAAATTATAATTTTTGGCACTTTTTACCTCGTATATTGGACATGTCTTTGCTTAAAACTAATCAGCACGTCTCTCTATCAGTAGCAATCGAAAGTTTATTGAATCATTCAAATCGGTTGATCCGTGCTTTCGAAATCGTGGACGAAAAACTGTATCTTATAATACACACATATATACTACATACATACAACATACATACACAAACATATAAATACATTCATTTTTACGGTAAATGCTACGGTAAGTGCCAAAATGTTCAGCAGACCCTGAAATGTGAAGATTATAAAAAAAATATTTTTGATATTTTTGGATTACTATAACTTACCCCGCGGGAAGTGCTAAAGAAATTTTTTAGTAAAAAAGGAAATAGATTTTGATTATGGAATAAGCAATTTCTCTAATGGATTAATTATCAACATGAAGATTTATTGGTATATAAAGTAGAATTACCCTAGTTATCATTAGATGATTGCTAGAGTTATTAAATATATAAATTCACGCAAAATAAAATTTCTTATAATTTATAATACAAATACTGTTATGTTCAGATGTACCGAGTAAAGCAATTAACAGCCGTAATTAAAGAAAGTCTTCGGTACTATAATATTTATATCTCAAGAATGTGTCTGTTTGATCGCCTTTTTACTACTAGAAATGCTTTTACCAGTAGAATGTTACATCAGCAAAGTTAATACCTTCAATTAATTAGCATTTGAGAATAATTATGTATATATTTATATACATTTATCTTCTGTTAATTATATGCTTCAATGATAAGTTGTATGCACTACACAACACGTGTAATTACTCGAGCTCATATCGGAAAAACGAAGACGAATAGTCGTTGAATTTTTAACTTTGTACATAATTTCTGACCGGGAAGATCATTAACAGCAAGCAACCTGCTGTTCAATGCATAGTGTTTCTTAATTCTGTTTTTTAGTCAATTAAAATTTGTATAGCGCCGTATACATCACTTACTTATATGTTAATTTATAGACCGGTCCGGACAGAAGCCCGAGCTTCATTAAATGATTTACTAACTGCTATCAGAAATATTCTCACAGTTTGCGAATTCTTTTACAAAAATTTTCTCATACACACATTGGGAACATTTTGGTATTGACATAAAATAATCGTTTAAATGTCGTAAATATCTGATTTAAATAACAAATTGTCTTTTATATATTCGACGACATTTACCTTTTTTTTAATTAATATGGAAACAAATTAATAACTGGAATATTCATTTTGATATAATGTGATAAAATATTGTTTTATTAATTCTATTAAATTAATTGGCATTTATAGTCACACGTTGACAATATATAACTCGTTTATTTTTATATCAATTAAAATTTAAACCTTCAATCATTTTATTTATTCCGGAATCATGCGACTAATTGCTTTCAAAGCTTTTGAAATTGCTGTTAAAATCTAAGTTGAAAAATAATTGCCTACATATATTTTTTTATTGTTGAAGCCTATGTATTTACTCTGTTTACTAATTAAATTCTAAATGTACAAATGTAATAAATCAAAATTAATAGGTAAAAGGATTGTTATCTATATATATTGTGAAGTTAATAGCTATTTTCTAACAAATATCAAGACATGCATTTTTACAATATTGTTGGATGTAATTAGCACTGGGTAATTTTTATCATTAGGTACTCATAGTAATTTTTATCCTCATATTATATTTTTAACTTACCGTAGAGTAAGTTATAGTAATGAGCCGAAAATTAAGAATGAAAATTTTTGCATATCTTCACGTTTCAGAAGTTTCTGAACATATTTTGGCATGCCTCAGAAAAAATGGATGTCGTGTGTTTTGTGTGTCCGCAATTTTTCGTCCACGTTTTCGGGCGCGCGGAACAACCAATTTAAATGGTTCAAAAAACATTCGATTCCTATTGATAGGGAGATGTGCTGATTTGTTTTTGGCAAAGGCAGGTCCAGCAGTTACGGAGATAAAGAGCAAAGTATGCAGAAAATAGAAATCGAGCTTTTGAGAGAACGGAGCATCCGATTTGAATGATCTAAAAAACATTCCATTAGTAATGATTGGGAGAAGTGTTTATTAGTTTTTGGCAAAAGCAGGCCCAGCCATTTCGAAGATACGGAGTTAAATGTGCAAAAAATGGCAGTTTTTGAGAGAACTAAGCGGTAGATTTAAATGATTCAAAGAACTTTCTGCTTGTCTTAACAAAATAATTGATTTTGGAAAAAAAAATTATATCGAAAATAATTCAGATTTAATTTTTAATTCTGACTAAAGCTCTAATATACTTTAAACAAATAATTTCAACTTTGCAATTCAGTTTATATAATTCTTATAAATATTAGACAATGTTACAATATTTATAATATTCTATTTGAAAACATTCAGTATTTCCCGAACATTTTGTTACGGTACGGGAAGTTCCAGCAATTTGCCTTAAGGCACGATACCATACACCCCACTAGTTAGTGTTATTTTAGCAACAAAATAAGTGAAATTTTAGATTTGTTACTCGCTAGCATTTTATTATTAATTAAAATGCGTCAACCTGACAACGGGGCGTCCATTATTCACGTGATCGATTTTTTGGGGATTTTTGGACCCCCCTTCCCCTTGGTAACACGTCGTGATATTCAGAATTAGGCCCCCATCTCCCCCACCAAACATTACGTGTATTTTTAGTTACGTAAAATTTTTCGAGTTTATGAAAAAATAGTAAGGTTTTTTATTTTTTTTGTTGAAAATTTACGTCAAAAATAAATACACGTGATATCTACTAGACTCCTTCCTCCCCCACTATTTATAACTAAAGAAACTGAATAACTAATTTTTAAAATTTATATTATGTGCTTACAAATGCAATAATTGTGTTTCATTTTCCTTTCAGATTCCTGCTCAGTATCTGTACAATAATAACATTAGTGGTCTTGGAGTAGTCGGCGCTGGTCTTCTGACGCCGCAACGACGGCCATCCAGCGAATGTTCGAGTCCGCCTAGCGTCTCAGACGGAGGCATTTACAAACCCTTGCCCGCCATAAATAATAATATAGCAACACTGCCAGATCATAATAGCAGTCCGCCGTTGTTGCATAATCAACAACAGCAGCATCACAATCAACAGCAACTTAATCAGCAGCAAGCGCAACAACTCAGTCAACACGGCGCGTTGTTGCTCAACAATCAACAACAGACGGGACGACGGACGATGGACGACGTCTTGAGGCGGCTCACGAGCAAAATGCGAGGAAGTTCACTTAGGGATGGAAGGCGGGCGCAGGCACCTACACCGCCACTTCAAGTGTAAGTGATAGATTATTTATTTTTTTAATATTGTGCTGAAAACAATTGTTTTGGTATGCTTACTTACTTTTACGTTACCCAAAAAACGATGCAATTTATTTTGAATTTATGAACCAATTCTTGGATAAAATGGGTATGTTCTGGTAACGCCATGTCACGAGTTTATTTTTATATGGGTTGGTAGTAACTGTCAAAAAGCTATGTACCTAACTTCACGTATATGTTATCAAAAAGACATCCAAAAGTTGCACTTACGATCAAATTGTTATTGGACGTTCGTACGTTTTGTAGGTTAGGTTTAATAAACAGGGTAAAACTCCTGATCGCACAGCAAATACATAGCTCTTTGGGGGCGTCCATTAATCACGTGATCGATTTTTTAAGGATTTTTGGTACCTTTCCTCTCTCTTTTTGGTACGTGGTGATATTCCAAATTAACTCCCTTCCTCCACCATCACGTGTATTTTAGTTACGAGAAAAAATTGTAAAATTTTTGATTTTTTTGAAAATGTTGAGATTTTTTTAAACAAATTCAGGTAAAAAATAAGTACACGTGATATCTTACTATACTCCTCCCTTCCCTATGTGATATTTTCTTATTTTTTGCCTGACCCCCCTGGACGCTTCCTTTGATAGCTTTTTACTACCAACTGCCACTAACATAGACCCTTAGCATAGCATTACCATGATTTACCTATTTCACCTGAGAATTGTACCCTCAAAGTTGATATCCCAAATATTTCGAACAAAAACTTCACGATAGTGTTCAGGAGTGATAATATGCATAGACCTGACACTACGACTCCAACAGTTTATATTCATTAAAAGTTAATAGAATTCTGCAACACTAAGCTTCGTACATATAATCACAATCCTGTATCTCATGGTTCAACTTACCAGAATAAATGTCTAGAAACTTGGAAGAGGAAGTGATAATTGGATTGCAGGATTGAAACATCTAAGTTTACACTCATATTTATCTGATTTGGCAATATAAACATTGCGATCAAACAACGAATTAACTTATTTCAATTAGGTGCCAAATATGTGTTCAAAGACTTCTTAGATATACGTGTATACAAATTTATTTTCTAAGTTTCGTAAATTTTTACGAATGCGTCTAACGCATCAAAATCGGTGTTTATATAATCTGATTGTATCTTGAATTCTATGATTGTGCTGCGGCGTCCGTTTTTCGATGACTTGTAAACATATCATTAGAATATATTTAGTGATGTGTGGGTTGTTAAGCACCAGTTGAGTTACAGATTATCTTAACACTTTTGATGTAAAAATGAGTATTTTACATAATTGTGGAATCTACTACAACGCCAGCGGTGAATGAATATTTTCTGCTCATTTAGTAATACAATTTCATGTCCTAGAAACTTATATATGTTTTTATGTGATGAACTTTTTTTTCTATCGTTGATGTTTTGAGTAATATAAGTTTTTGTCTCATTCCACTTCTTTAATCAGTTTTGTCTAAAGAAGTATAATTTATAAACTTTTTTTCCATGTTTTTGCACGGATCAGATATATAACGACAACCTCACTTCGCTCTTTGTTGTTGTAAAAGCAAATAAACCTGAAGTGAAAGAAAAAAGTAGAATCCAGCATCGGCATCGGTACCGACGATCAGTCATCGGTCATCCAGTAGTCATTTTTTGAGTAGAGATCATATATTATGACAGGCCATGTCGGTCAAGTCCATGAAATGCTAAGGTTGCGTTAGCTCAGCAGAAATCAATTATACACAACCAGTTAATACAGTTCTATGATAATTAATAATCGTCTAACTGGTCAGTAATTAACTGAGAAATACGCACCGAGGACCAATAATAACTCATGTGCTCTGCTTTTATTGCTTTAAGCGTGTATGAAACATAATTGGCGCTAGCCATTTTTATGAAAATATAGGTATATTTTTATTTTTACTACCTCTTTTTGTTTTACTTACTTACTTACTTAAATCGATTTTTGCATATTAAAAAGCGAAATGAGTTTTTGCAGTTGATTTCACTTAGGTGCGTTTTAATTTAAAATTTATGCAGTTTCGACAAGGATGATGTTGTGCTATTGTTTTCGAAATGTTGTATACCCACTATTATTATGAATTTCAATCAATGAATTACTATTTTTTACTAAATATTTAACTAAATTTTCTGATCTATTCTTCTACTCTATTATGTCTCTTTTTTAAAACTTAATTATTGTTTATAATTAGGGGGAAGTCCCTTAACGCCGGACAGCACCTAATACCGGACACTCTATTTAACACGTATTATTTAAGCGAGTATAAATCTTTTCATATCAAAATACACGTGAAAGGGGGTGAGGGGCACACAGGTGCAGGATCACCCGCCAAGACTCACCTGTGACGCACACGGCCACGGCGGGAGCAACCCTTTGCTGTTTTAGGCGCAAAATCACGGCGTCACCTAAATATCAATGGAAGAAATTCTAGTGTATTTATGCATTTATATTTGAGTGGCATTCAATGATAAAAGTAGTACTTGATTGTTATCCGTAAAATGGTAGAGAATATTATTAGATATTTTAAACAATTTTAGTAGGTACCACCAAATGAACGAACATGTCTGTCTCTTAGCACCGGACACTAAGTCGTCCATTTGCGCCGGACAATAAACATATTGATATTCCTTGCGAAAGTTGACTTTTATTTATTTTAATTATTTAGTTTTGTTCTGTATGAGTGCTAACGGTCATTACATACCCGTTTCTCGTATTTCCTAGTCAAAGAATGAAAATCTTATGATGATTGCTCCAGCCGAGAGCATCGGTATGGCCCAGCCAAAAAGGGTGGATGAATAGTTATTTTTTTTTGCAATATCTAAAAATATTCGTCAAACACACATGTGCAGACATTCCAGAGTACGGACATGGCTACATATGTGATCAATGTAGGTTATTTTGAAATGTCCGGTACTAGGTGCCACTGTTTAAAATCATATTTTTATACCAAAGTTTGATTGATAGTATTAATATAATAAAATGCTCATGTAATTATTTCACTCTCTAAAAGGGCTAAAACTATATAACTATTTCCTCGGCTCTCCGACTATTGCTTACACTTCAATCCATTAATAAAATGATGATGTTTTGTTATCTTCGAATTACACAACCGAGGTTATCGCGAGTCCTGAAATAAGTCCATCGTATCAAGAACATACAAACTTGCCAGAACAATAATAATAATAATAGAACATACATATCTTCTTTATCTGAGCGGCGTATTGATATGAAACGGATGCTCTATCAGATATTCGCGAGACGTCCTTGCTTATGAAATGTGGTAATATCGATCGTAATTATTGTCTGTCGAAGTTTTATAACAATCCTTTTGTTTATCTAACAATTTGCAATTAAAATTATCGCCGATCGACATAGTTCAGTAATCCATATATATAATTGATGGGCTCTGTTATCTATATGGATTTGTTCTTTGTTAAATTACACAATGGACGTATGAATGGTATTGTTGATCTAATTCAGTAACAGAAGCTTTTGATAATGATAATTTTGATTAACTAATTTTTTTATATTTTATTCGAGCAGCAATTAGAACTTGAGGATTTTTTAACTTCCCGTAGGGTAAGTTATTGTAGTCGTCTAAAAATCCAAATTGAAAATTTTTGCATATCCTCACATTTTGAAGGTTTCTGAACATTTTGGCATACCTTAAAAATGGATGTGTGTGGATGTATGTTCAACCGATTTGAATGGTTCAAAAAACATTCGATTCCTATTGATAGGGAGATGTGCTGATTAGTTTTTGGCAAAAGTCGGTCCATCCGTTTTAGAGTAACGGAGCATAGAGTGCAGAAAATAGAAATCAAGTTTTTGGGAGAACGGAGCATCCGATTTGAATGATCCATGGAACATTCAATGCGTAATGATGTGGGGAAGTTGTGTGTGTTTTTGGCAAAGACAGGTCCATTTCTGAGATACTGAGCTAAATGAGCAAAAATGGCAGTTTTTCAGAGAAATAAGCATCCGAATTGAATTATTCAAAAAAGAATCTGCTTGTGTTGACGAAACGATTGTTTTTGGGGAAAAATATTTCTTTTTTTTTATTTCTAAAAAAATTGGTAGGTACGGGAAGTTCCAGCAATTTGCCTCAAGGCACGATGCCACACTACTACTTAAGCTATGATTTGACTTTTATCTATGTCGGGTTTATAGGTGGCAACCCAAAAAGTTGTCCTAATTCTATGTGTTGAATTTTATTATTAAAATTTCTGCAATAGGGATGATTTTTTTCTGGATGCTTCTAAGCCGCGCAATGGCTATTTTTACATGGAAACATGAAATCTTTATATCCGTGTGATGTCGCTGCTGCTGGACATCAGGCTGCCCGAAGCGGGTATCAAACCTAGGACCTCTAATATAAAATGTAAAGTTTTAAGCTGCATACAATAAAATTAGTGCTAAATTGTGATTTCTCAAGAAGTATATCGAAGGTATTAGAAAATTTCTCACATAATAAAATGTACTCGCGTCTAAAGTTCAAAACATTAAACACTGATTGCGACATCGAATGTGTATGTTACATTGTACTTATAATGGTGATGCAAAACTGATATATATAAATGTTTGCCGCACGTGTTTTACATTATTAAATTGTTTATAAATGTATATGATATCAAATTGAAAAAAGCGAACGCATTCAGAATAATTGCATAAAGTTGTTTATTTTCAGAATAATTGCATAAAGTTGTTTATTTATCTCTTTATCTCTATAGATTGTCATTAAAACTTCTCAATAGGAGGATCAAAAATTGCACTGTTGAATGAATAATATACCCACGCTTCAATTAAAAAAAAAATTAGGTAATCTTTTACCTATTAGGCAAAATTAACTCAAATACTTAATGCTTTGTTAAAAGTTTTCTTTAAATACAAGTTTATAGAGCTTTTAAATTTTTCAAAGCCAATTTAGACACTGCCATTGGCTGTAATTAATATCATATTCACAT